ATATATATATATATATATATATATATATATATATATATATATATATATATATATTACACAAATACTAACTAAATATGGAATGAAAATGATAGGAGACATCGACGTATGCCATTAAATGTCACTGAATAAATTAATCGAGAATAAAATAGGAGACAGCCACCAACGGAGTCTTTGATCGGCACTTGCCGACTACTTTTCCTCTTGCTTCTCACCCTCGAATTCCACGGGTCCCATTCCGAGACAAAGCCGCCGCCTCACAACATTACCGAAAGATTGACATGACCCAAGTGGTGGATTAGCACAAAAAAATCTCAAGGTTAGCTTCACCTACTGCTGCCATGGTTGTGTTTTGGCGATCCAAATCCATGTCGATTTAACTTTAGGCCTGCGATAAACCATCCAATGGACTTTTTCTTCCATTGATCTCATCGATGCTAGGTTGGAGGTCTCTTGTTTAATCTTGACACTGTTCGACTAAAGTCAACTAGAAAAGTATGCGAGAGGATCCAACTTTGGATTTAGATGAAACTTGCGATTACACTGGACGTCGCCTTCCTCTCCGTTTTATTGCTCCAATTAATGCACAGGGATCAACGCGACAGGGCAGCAGCCATCCGTGGTGGATGATTAATGCATCATTTTGCCTCCGAGTGTGATCGAATGAATTGTTGATGGATATCTCCATGGAATCATATTACTCGGGGAGCACTCAGCCATACAATTCAACCAATCCTACACCAAGTGGTGGTGGTTCACAGTGTCTGTGCCGTCTGTTAGGTCACCACCACCAAGCAAGCTGCGTCAGCCCCATGTTCTCCTCGGTCGGAATCATCCAACAGTCTTTAAGTTGAGCCACACCTGTAGCTCGAGCGGATAAGGCCATGGACCATTGTACTCCTTGCAAGCTCGAGTCCCAATCGTTTCAACTCGAGATATTCCGAGAGCACTCACAGATCGACAATGGTGGTGCACAGGCACCACCTCCGAAAGGAATCAAGCTCATCCTGCATCACATCACGACACTGGAGAGAGGCAGACGCAGGGGAGGCAAACAGAACAACATGGTTCAAGCACACTTTATACATCATGAGTATTTACATGTTTCATGATTCCAAATCTTTGTACACAATGGAATGGGAACAGCAAATAAGCTCAAAAAGAAGCTCTCTCTCTCTCTCTCTCTCAGAGCACCTAACAATAGCTGAAATCCAATGAATGGATAAAAAACAACAGGCTTGCCTTCCCCACTCTTCACTCTCATTCTGTATCTACACAGAGTCACCCTCCGATTACCAAATAGAAAAGATTGGCACTAGGAAAATGTACAATTACAACAAAAGTTGAAAGGCCTTCCAAATCACCTCAGATCTCCTCCTTACCTTAAACGCTCTTCTCCTTTTGTTTTGCTATGCTTAGAGCACCTAATTGTTGTTGGTCTTTTTCTTTTACTTTTGATGTCTTGATGTTAATTCTGCACTGCGCTCCAGAGGAAAGCACGGAGCGCATGGGCGTGCGGGGGGGATGTTTAAGCCACAGCGGTTATGCCGCTGCAGCGCCGGCGGTCGCGGTCGAGGCAATCAAAACCCTCGATGCGCACGGCAGCCGGCTTAAGGCCAAACTTGGCATGGGCGCAGCCTTGATTGGGGGACAGGGGCGGGCCGGACTGGATCAGTGGTAATGGGGCGAAGGGAGCCGGCGGGCGGTCCTCCCCGAACCGAGCGTCGTGGACGACCGGGTTGGCAGCACGGCTGGGCGGCGAGCCGCAAAAGAACGGCGGGGACGAAGCAACCTGATTCTCTTCTCCACCCTGCAACAAATACCATATCAGAATATGAAGATCACATGAATCCATGCGTCTTTATTAGCCTCGAAATCGCTTCTTTACGAGAAAAATGTTGAAAAGAATTTGTCCAATAAACCAAAATCATAGAAAATAAGAAAAGAATTTTTCGTTGATCTTTTCGTTCGATTTATTACACGAGTTGACAAAAAAAGGGAATAAAAATCTCACCTTTGCTAGATATACATCAAGAAGTTCTGCCCCGGCCTTCAAATCAGTGAAATCGGCTTGATGACTGAACAAAACAAGAAGCAGAAAGACGGATTAGATGTAGGGAAAGAGAGAGAGAGAGTCAGATTGTTGTTGCAGAGGTTTAAGATTTAGAACGAGGAGGAGACGAGGAATATACATGGAGTGCCAACGGAGGGGTCGGACCGGGTCAGCGAAGGCAGGAAGCGGGCTGAGCCGGCGCGGCTTGGGGCAGAACACGGGGGGCTTTCGGTCCGCAACGGCGAAGGGGGCCCTCATTTCTTCGCAGGCGGCGAAAGCGTTGTGCTGCTGCATCGCCCAGCGATTCATATTTTACTCCCACCTACTCGAGATCCGCGACTATACCGCCTGTAGATGCACAAATCCAGGAAATAAGACCTTCCATCCTCACAATCCCTTCGCACATACACCAAATCAGACAGGTAAGCGAGATTTCAGAGGCTTCCGGAAAGATTATCGAACAAAAAAAATCCAAAAATTTCAGAACAGAAAACCATAAAAATCTCACTCTGACAAAACAAGAGCCGAAAGGTCCATAAGAAATCAGCAAAAGTTCCATCTTTGACATATATAGCAGACTATGATACCACGAGACAGATCGTAAGGATCAGATCTCAGTAAGAATAAGCGGAAGAAGAAAAGATTATATCTTGATTTACCTTGCCTACCTCTCTCTACTAGCGAGAGAGAAGATGCAGAGAAACCCCAGAAGGAGAAAGGAACGGAGAGGACCGAGGAAGAGAGGAAGGAAGAGATTTGGAGGAGATATATAGACAGAAAGAGTGGATGGAATAAACCAACGCATGTGGCTCCACTAATTTTCTTTTTAAAAATTAATAAATGTAAAGAAAAGTTAAAAAAAATACTAAAAAAAAAAAAAGGGGAGAGGAGGTGCGTTGGCAACGACCTGTCTGCAATAAAAGAATCGAAAGATAGCTTCCGTATTTTATTTGTTTTTCTTATACCACGTGATTTGAAACCCACACGTTATAATTCGTTTTTATATTACCACTATTTACTCGAAGAAAAAAAAAAGAGAAAAATCTTTCAGTTATTGTATGCCCTTCTTTTTGCGTGACGCTTCTGCTCGTTATGGGCATCCACTAGTTTACTTTTTATTATATATATATATGTATATATATATATATATGTATATATATATATATATATATATTCTCTTAATAATCTTATTTATTCGATTAAGTCGACTTTTACACCCCCACGATCATGTCATGGAGCTAAAATTAGCTTCAAACACGAATGCTTGAAATAGAAACTATTAAAGTATTAATCAAATATAGGATTTGTCATGACTAAGACGGAATCCTTAAAATGGAATGACCTCTGTTAATGGACACCGCTTTGAATGCAATTTCCACACCATACTCAATCCCATCACGACGCGTGCGCGACTTCGCCTGAGACCCAAGTCACACGTCCGCACATGTGCGAGCCGGTGACCTCACCAACAGCTCCATTTGGAGGCGCGGTGCGCGCACCGCACAAAGGGGGAGCGCGTGCACATAACGCCACGTGACATCAGGTCACGTTGGCAATTTGGGCTCGCCATGTTCGGCCCAAACCACATCGAGATGATGGCCATCATGTGCTGTTACCGTAGCTTCCGGAAACACCGCGATGTGTCTCTCACTTTTAATTAGCTTTGGCATGTGAGCGATGATGCATGTCGCACGCCATCATGCATCACGATCTACTGTGTGCAGTATGTTGGGAGCGTCACCGAGGACTGAGAAGATGCCGATGTCTCAGAGACTTTGGGCCCCGTCGACGGCTGTGGCCTCGCTGTCCGTCATCATCTGAAGCCTCGCTGGAGTTTCTCCGAGACTGAAAACTTTCCTTTTAATCGTCATTATTCTTTTATTTGCTTTAAATGCACGGCTTCTGATTTTATTCGTGTTACATACAATTCATATGGTATTAATGATGCAATATACTTCACGAAGGGTGAGTGAGTAACGTCTCCGTCAAAAGTAACGCCGGTGAGAAATCTCCTCTGTCATACGGGCGACCGAGCCACGTGATGCGTCTCTCTCTCTCACTCCCCTCGCAAAAGAAGCCTTCCTTCCGAGTTTGGCGTTGTCTTCCCCTTCGCCATCGTTGTGTCTTGCCCCGATGCAGCTCATGTGCCAATTAATATTATTCTCCACGCCCTGTATCCCATGTCCTCCACCGACCCTCACGGTAACGACGAAACGATGAGAGCCGCTGAGATCGTTGATCGGCTAGCTGGAATCCACCATGGCTACGTCTTCCCACTAAGGGATAGAACAATGCACATCTCGCGCATGTGAGAGGCTAAAATAGTTGCCGGGGTTTGGTTGGATCTCACAAGCCTCGGCGCTTCTTGCGTGGAAATGTTTGTCCATGTCGGGTCTCCGGGAGGGTCTCGGATTATAACACGAATCTTTTGATACACGTGGCATTAGATTAGTGCAAATGTCGCCCTCTGTTTAGGTTTGATGGATGCGTGCACCGAACCATGTCCCACGGGTCTGCATTAAATAGAACACGGGGGGGGAAGGAAGGCAGGAGGAGGAGTTCACGGTCAGTCACAGGCTGGCTTCGACCCACTTGTCTTCTGGTTGGTCGGGTGGAGAGGACCATCATGCTAAGTTGGTGCTTAAATAAATGGTGCCAACGGGGGAGAGCTTGACCCGAAACCATGTACCGAGACGGAACGATGACGACTTCAGATTTACTACTCATCATCATATTCCCAACTTGCTGCGGCAAAATGATTCTTGACGATGGATTTGTCGCCGACTTGACGTTGTTCAACATCGCGGATGCCAAGCTACTTACTCTATGGACTGAATGATGGTCGTGTTGGGTGCCTGCTTTGGCCCTTGGGAAGAAGACCGAGTCGATCCAATGATTGCCATGAGGATCCTGCTTTGAGTCTCTCGTCTTATGGGGCTTCTTTCTACATCGAAGAAGACGGAGGGAGTCTGGCCCGACCATAAGCCCAATTCTGCTTGTTTTCGGCCATTTTAGGATCTATAATTTTATTGGACGTTCAGATCGAAGACTTTTAATTAGTCGGAGTGGAGAAGTAAGTACTCGAGTTAAGTCGAGATTTAGTCTAACGCCACCATGGTTAGTTATCTCTACAGCTCGGCCACTGTAGATGGAAGCTAAGAAGACTAATGGCGGCAGATGGATGTGTCGTCGTCCAAGAAGAAGAACAGGACATATGTGTTTGTTGAAATGCGACATACATGATGGGAGATATTTTGTTCCTTTGTTTCAAGAAAATAGAACTCCTTGCCATCATTTGCATTCTGCATACAAATATGGTGTAGACAATATATAAACCTCTGCTACCTCTATTCGTATTTGTAGACCCATTGCTTTAAGTTGGATGGGTTCAGCCAGGATGCAGCTCTGCCTGCAAACATATTTTGGAAGCATTTAAGCTTTTAGATGGACCGTGAGCAAATACATCTTCAACTCCGGTCGCGTCTCTGTATGTGTACATAGATAAAAGGATTATTACGAGGGTTGTCTTCACCAAACAAAAGTCGGACAACCTTATTGGATGCTTGGGAAGAAGGCAAATGGAGGGAACGACGAGGCAAAGGCAAGGAGGCGCCGACCACCACGCTGCCTACTAGTGGCCATCGGGCTTGTGTGCGATGAAACTGATGCACTGCACTTGGCGGTTGTTGTCGAAGCCGATGATGCGGACGAAGGCCCTGGGGTACTCCTTCTTGCACTCCTCCAGCTCCTTCGCCACCTGCGTCGCGTCGGTGCACCCGAACATGGGCAGCTTCCACATGGTCCAGTAGCGCCCGTCGTAGTACCCCGGCGACCGGTGGTTCTCACGCCACACGAACCCCTCCTGTTAAAGGTCACCGTCGAGTTCAGTCCCCTCCCCCATCACGCCCAACCGGTATTCGTGAGAATGCATGCGGGCATGCTTCCCTCAGACGATCGTACGAGAAAGTCCAACAATTCTGAGGGTTGGTTGGTGGACATGGAAGCATAGTCTAACTAAACTTTCCTTTGAAGTGGTACTTACGTGGCTGAACTCCAAGCAGGGAATCCATTTGGAGCGGAGAAGGTACTCGATCTGCTTGAGCAAGACCTCGTCCACCAGCGTAGGAAGGTAGGAGAGGGTCTCGAACTTCTTCTTGCCCTCGATCGGCCACACCTGTCAACGACATCCATGGTGATTACGGGCGGTCATTGCGACAGAGAAAAAGAGGAGAAGAAGCCAAACATGAGAAGAGTGCTCGCTACCTTCATGCACTGGACTCTGCCACCGTTGCTGGGGAGGTGCGAGAGGTCAGCGTTGGCCTTCCTGGTGACCGGGAAGGCGGAGGTGGACTTGAGGCCGGTGAAGGGAGCGACCATGCTGGATTGAGCCGGTGAAGCCCGGGAGACGACGGCGACGGCGGAGGAGACCATCACGGAGGAAGCCATTCCTCTTGCTGTCGTTCCTCAGCTTGCCACGCGGACGGACGTAGCCGCAAGAAGAAGGCTGCTCGCCGTGAGGTCTCACCGCTCCAACAGCAGACCTGTATATATAAGGCGAAGCCTCTCCGATGATGATATTTTTGGATCCATATGAGGGCGGCCGATGTCGTTCGTCGGGGGTGACATGCACACTCTGCGACCACACACCGAGGCAATGGATGACATCCTTATCTTTTGGTGCGAAGTCTCATCTTATCCCCATGACCGGCAACGAGTGATGCCCCTGCGTTCTTCCATCTTCTTCTCCTGCCGTCGGTTTCTTTCGCTTTATAGAGTTAGTGTCACATTTGCATGGCAACAAAGATCACCCTATGCCGCATACGACATCTCCGTGAAGTGAACGACAACACTATGAATGAATGCAGAGCATCCCTACATGATTAAGCACTACATAAAAATCTTCACTTACGATTGCAATAGTAATTAAATCGCTTTTATCTCACGGTTGATGGCAAAAAACAAGAGCAGAAAAGGTTGCTGGGAAGAGTTTGTCGTGAGATCCGAACTACTCGGTCCTTCGACGTCGATGGGTAGGTGATGTCACATGTAATCAATCCATCCTTAGCCGACCGACCGCGGTCCACAAATTTCTTCCTCTCAAGCTCATCATAACCTTCCAATTCTCCATTTCGATGGGGATGATGGACTATCATTATCATTCGTTGGCTGGCAATTTCTACATTCATATACGTCCCCAGGTATATTTCAGGGTCATGACAATATAATGGTCGGTGAGATTTCTATGAATGTTTTGATGGCTTTTCATCTGTGAAGAAAAAGGAAAAAGAAGAAGAAAAAAGGCTGGCCTTCTTATTCATTTATATTCCAACATAATAATAATGGAAGGAGAAGGAAGAAGGCCAAACAACAGGGATCCACTTACATGTAGTTTGCTTCGTATCAGCTTCCATTTCTTCACCAAACTTCTGTTCTGGAAGCACAAGATGTGGAGTTCACTATCAGAATCATATTCTCTCCTCATCATTCCCTCAAATAGTATTACGTCCGCAACATAGAGATTGATTCTTGGGTTTATCCGGCCTAAACTGCAGATATGCGGCACCATTAGAATCTTAAATCTACCGATCAAACCAGCTTTCTTGATTTCGAAAAAGCTACAATTTCTATTCGATAATGGTCCGATCATCGAGTCCATGGGGGCGCATCGCAGCGGCACACGTACGCCTTCTCGATTGCTCATGGCGTTCTCCATATTAACCCCAACTGCCGCATCCCATACTTATCGGATAATTTTGATCGCTTATGCAACCGACGCCACCGCGTGTCGCTCGCTGATCAAAAGCGAAGACTCCCCACGTCTCTTTCTTCTCTCCTTTTCCGTTCGGCGAACGAACGATAAATATATATATGTAGGCAACCGTTCATGGCAACCTGCACCGTCATTGGATCGTAACCACTCCACCCGCTCCTGCCTGCCTTTCCCAAGCAACATTGCTCATCTCATTGGCTTCGTCATCCATCGGACGGTCTTCTGTCGTCATGGCGCTGGAGCGGCAGAGCGATCCGCCGGATTACCGAATCGAGCTCCTGTCCCCCATGAGGCAGGAGGGCGACTCGGCGGCCACGACCAGTTGGAGGCTGAACGTGAGCGACTTCACTCTACCGGAGGCCCCCAAGGACCCGCCGCTCGTCTCCAGCGTGTTCCGGAGATACCATGGTATGCCTCCTCCTTCCTGTTCTTCCATGATCTTAGATATCAGTAAGGTGTTTCTGTAGACGCCATTTCTCGTTCTCTTTATGACTCGATGCATGTCTGCCACAAGCGGTGGGTTGGGGAGGCATTCTTGAGTCGATCGCTTCATCTGAGATATTTTGTTCTGTCTTGGTCGTATCTAAAAGCAAAAGCCTAACATAAAAAAACAGAGCTTTGTAGAGAAACTGATCGTTAAACAGATTGTTCCGTCACCGCTTCATCCAATATGCCTAATCATCTGTGGTTTGGTAAGTCAAGAACAACATGGTGCGAGCATTTAAGATCCAGATAATTATGGGTAGATCGATCTAAGCCAATGTAGGAAGCCAAAAGGTGTTTCGAACAGGGATAGAAGGTGCAGGATTAATTTCATGGTAGAGGAGCAACAGAACATTATTCGGTGTTGGCAAGCCAATCTCCAAACATCTTTAGCAAAACCAAGTAGAAGAAGCATAAATTATTCCCCTTTTGGCAGAGTTCAGACCTAACAAGAGATGACAATCTTCTTTATTCTTGATATACAAAAAGGCAACAGTTTCTTATTTGTACATACAGTAAGCCTGTATTGTCCAGATGTATATGGATTCATAAATATATTTTGATTCGATACAAAGGTCAAAATTCCCATCTACATCATCCTTATGGAACCTAAAACCATGCAGTGCTGATAGCTCTCCTAATTGAGAACCCGGTCCTTCTTTCCTTCAGTGGGATTTCTCATAGTTGCAGGACAAGATGCAAATTCTGAGAGCGATTTCGAATATGCATCTACAATTGGCGTCAATGCTACACGCGTCTGAGGGTTCATGATCGATCGGATGGGCTACTTCTTAGCTTTCGTCTCAGGTCGCATCTTCCAAAATACTGTAGTTAGTGTGATGGTGTTGGAAAGACAAATTAAACACACCACACAGATTAAGTGCTGTCACATGAATTAGTCTTTCACAAATTCAAACAGAGATGTATGTGCAGGAGTGATGCTCAAGTTTGTCCGATGTTAGTCGGGCCATTAGTGCTCTATGATCTCCGCACTTTCCTTGAAGGTGAGGAGAAGAAAGAAGAGGAAATTATTGAAGTTGTTTCTGTCCCTATGTTATGGTCACAGATTATGATCTTTTGAAAGGTTACTGTTGTGTGCAAGAAATCTTTAGACTCTCGCTATATGGTGTACATGACGCTAACTCCTCTCCTTCAATTTTATCTTCTTAGGCAATCAAAGGAAAATTGCAAAGTACTATAGGAAACAAGGGAAGCTTCTTCAGGGATTCAGTGAGATGGAAAGCATCACCGAGTTAGAAGCACCCACACAGGTATTTCATCTCTCTTCTCGCTGCAGCCTTCTACTTGTCCCGTCCACGATGCTCAAGCATGGAAAGTTGTATATATTCGTGGAAGCTTCATGTTAAGTACGAGTTCTTCCTTCTGCAATTGCGTAGGACGAGCTAAACGACTTGGCAAGAAGCGAAAGGCTCGCGATCAACGTTTCAAATATAGTGAACTTGATCCTCTTCGCTTCGAAAGTATTAGCATGCGTCGAAAGCAAATCCATGGCGGTGATCGCTTCGGCTCTGGATTCCCTGCTGGATCTTATGTCGGGACTGATTCTGTGGTTCACTTCGTATGCCATGAAAAAGCCTAATCAGTATAGCTACCCAATCGGCAAGAATCGAATGCAACCTGTGGTAAGTCGGAACTGTTCCTCCTTTCGAGGAACAGTTAGATGCATCGTAGCCGCATGCCAAACATACAAATTTCTTGCCGATTTCTACTGTACCTCAGCAGCAACCATGAAAATTCTTTTCATCCCTACCGTTTGTGACTCAGCTTGTTGTTATTGTGCAGGGCATCATTGTTTTTGCTTCTGTGATGGGCACTCTTGGTCTGCAAGTGCTGTTGGAGTCTGGCAGACAACTTATCACCAAGGTAAGTCGTGTATCAGAATGCAAGATTTCCTACTACGGTCTCTTATTTATGTTCATCATAAATGCCTGCAGGAGCACCCTACTTTCGATCACGAAAAGGAGTTGTGGATGGTCGGCAGCATGTCGTCGGTCACGGTGGTCAAATTCTTCCTCATGCTCTACTGTCGTAGCTTCAAGAACGAAATCGTGCGAGCTTATGCACAGGATCATTTTTTTGATGTCATCACCAACTCCATCGGCTTGGTCACATCTTTGCTTGCGGTGAGATACTACTGGTGGATGGACCCGGTGGGTGCCATACTGGTGAGTTCGATTGCCAGCATTAAAGTATTGAAATCAATCCGGGAAACTGCATGCAGAAATCACGATTTAAGCGTTCGATGATGGTGCAGATAGCGGTGTATACCATCAGCACCTGGGCGAAGACTGTACTGGAGAACGTGTGGCTGTTGATCGGAAGAACGGCACCGCCTGAGTTCTTGGCCAAGTTGACCTACCTCATCTGGAATCACCATCAACAGATCAAGCATATCGACACGGTGAGAGCGTACACGTTCGGATCGTATTACTTTGCCGAAGTGGACATAGTTTTGCCTGCAGACATGCCGCTGAGCCAGGCGCATGACATCGGCGAGTCACTGCAAGAAAAGCTGGAGCAGATTCCGGAGATCGAGCGTGCTTTCGTGCACGTAGATTTCGAGTTCACTCACAGGCCTGAACACAAGGCCAAGGTGTGAACTGATCAGACCTTTTATCTTCTGATGCTTTCTCTTTAGTTCATTATCATGATGATACGCCTTTATTCAATAAGCCCACGGGGAAGGGAACGCATCTTCTTCGTCCGTGGGGAAATCCAAATCTTTAGGGTCAAGATCGTGTAAGATATAAATCCAAACATTAATAATAGATGAGAGTTCTTTGTTTCTTTGTCGTATTTGTTTTTATCTCAAGCCTAGTCCATTGTTGACGTTGACGAGTGACATTACACTATGCATATACTTTACTAAAGAAACAATGTCAGACATCCTTGTTACTAATAAATACTTGCTGTACGTCTGTCTTCCTTTGATGTTCTTTAGGATCACTGTTTTACTTAATCTCATAACGAGTCTACCAACATATTAGTCCATTAACTATTATAAAGTTATTATCTTAAGCTATCATCTATTCATTGCACATAATTCTTTATTTATAGAATCGAGATTTTTCTCTTATAGATATTTATTTTGTCGAAGTAATTTTTCTTTTTGTCTTATTCATCCTCGGAGATTACCATCCATTCATTACCATCTTTCATTAATATAATTCATACTATGTCCGGCATAGTAACAGGTTAACTGTGTATTTCAATTTTTTAAGAATATATCCTTTTTATGTCAAAGAGAAAGTTTTCTTACTGACATTGAGTATCGATTAACTTGGGATGATCATGGACAATTTGCATAACTATTTCAATCATCAAGCCAACTCATCTCTCTTTACACGGTTTCATCTTTTACTAAACGTCATCGTTTATTTTAAGCATTATCAAATTTGGTTGCCAACATTGAGTCGTAGCTCAAACTCAGTAATCTCAATTTTTGTACGTAATGAGTTGGCTATTTCTTTAAATACCATACTTGCAAAAGAAAATATAGGTTAAAAGAAGTATTAACTCAGAATTTACATTGTAGCAAATACTTAATGTAGATTACAAATGAAAACTTGTAGGTTTTGAACAAACATGCAGGGTTCAAGGTGGTTCGTTATACCAAAAGTCTCCATAAGTAACAATATAATACCGTTGCGGAATAAGATAGTAGATCAGTCATAAACAATACTCCAAGACCCATCAAGTCATGTGTCAGCCCAATAGCTCAAGGGTGTTGTATAGTTGATGCTTCGTACTATTCTATAAAGTAAATTTTTTTAAAATAATTATATAGATGACCTATTCTTGGATAGTTTTACCTCAACACTATGATTTTACATAATTTATGTTTATATAACTAAAACTATTATAAAAGTCAATCAAAATAAGATTATCAAGTCTATTATAATTCCTATACGTTCCATAAACAAAATCGAAAGATATAAATATTAATTAAATATCCTATATATATATGACACGTGATATTACGTGCATAACTTTTGGTCAAAGAAATAAGCGACGGACTAATTTATAGCAATTTTGAAACCGTGAAGACCCAAATGTCACTTTTAAAGGTCTAGAGTGAGTGGAGATATGTAATTAGCTGCTTCATAATCGAATACTACAGCCACAATTATAATTTTTCATTCGTGTTTTATAACTTTAGTGGACTTTAGCCCACGAGTGAGTGTTTAGTTTCATAACGTTGGAGCATCCATTCTCCTCGTTTGACAGCAGCGGAAGTTCCGAAGAGTTGAGTGTTTGTTTATTAACGTACATTAGATGAATTATAGTGGTGTATTATTAGTATACCGGCATTAATTAGCAGAGAACAGTAATCTTTAATGACGTCCTACATCGATGCTTTATATAATTCAGGTCATCTTTAAAACTCATATCTCGATTTAATTTTGCATGCTTTGTAAGTCATTTCTACTGCTCCTCATCGATCCGGATTTAGGCATGGCAATGGAAGAACACAAATCACGCTACTATTCTGTAGAGCCCTTACGTACCTTTCCCTGGGATTACAGAAATAACAAAGTGACTTGGAACATGGGAGATGACGAGGGAAGCTGAGTTACAGAGCTCCAAGCAGCTGCTTGATCCTTGGATTCCTGCTAGCTTCGTCGAATTACATGGCATCGTCGGCTCAAAGCAGCGGCCCAGCCAGCGCCGTCGTATGAAACGAGGAAGACTTGTCCCCACGCTTCTTCCCGATGTACCGATCATCGTGACGAGTGCACAACCTTGAACTACGGGACTCATCGGTGCAGGGACGCCCGGTGAGATTTTGTACGAGCTCCGTGAAGCTGGAGCGGCCGGTACGTGTCATCTTCGGGGCGCGAGCGTGCGTGATCACGGGATGTCTCCGCTGCGTTGCGGCGGCAGCCGCCAAGAGTGGGAAGGACGACGACGACGATGGCTTACACACCAGACGAGACTTCTTGTATACCTTCAGCCGCGCGGTGCGCGAACCATTTCTTGCCTCGTCCAATGCTTCACGCGGCGGAGGCATGGTCGATGGCAAGGCGAGGAGGGCGAGGGATCGACGAGCATGGAAGTAGGGGGACAGAGATGCCGCGTAAGTAGGCCGACGGAAGGGGAAACGGATGGCTGGTCGGGCAAGTCTTGCAGGGACGGCGTTGCGCGGTCTTCGGCCCACGCCACCGAGCTGGGACCTGTAATGTGGTGGTGGGGATTCGCTATAAACGGTGAAGCCATTTCCGACCGTTGGTGGTGGTGGTGGGGTCGAAGATGGTGTTCGATCAAGACTATTCAAGCGGAATCGAGGAATACTTCATGCAATGGTCAATACTCACGACGACGGTCATTTTCTGTAACATTGTTGACTCAGACATTTGAGTTGACTAACATGTGCAAAATTGAGGATTTCTTGGATTGAATGCCATATTTGGAGAATTTCCAATTACCCAACATATATACGTCACATGAGATGATAAGCTCGTATTGATTATTTCAATGACATAATGTAACACGAAGAGAAATAAAAAGGAAAAGAAAATTAATGGAAAGACACAACAAGAAAGAGCGGTCTAAGATGACATAACATCGCTCCGGTGCTTTCTGTTGGAGGCCCCACCTGGCATTGTTGGATCAACCCGGCCGAAGTGGGGGCCCTATCCTTTCCGCTTCTCTCGCTCTCTCTGCTCAATTCTGTCTATATAGAGAAACGATTTCGCCTGGCTTTCCTCTCCCCTTCCCTCCCCCCTTGAGACGCCATGGAGGAGACCCTCGATCTCTCCTCCCTCGACGGCGCACCGCCCTCACCCGACCCCGATCACGGCTGGCAGAAGGTCACCTACAACAAGCGCCAGCGCAGGCATAAGCCGACCCCCGGTCCTGATCAAAACGGCTTCGACTCCCTCGAGCAGAAGGCCCACGAGCGGCGCAGCGCCATGCCGGATCGAGGCCCGCCCCGGCCGCGTCGGATGATGAGGACGACAATGACGGCGTGGAGGCCGCGCGCGGAGCCAAGGAGAACGGGGTAGGGGGCGCCGAAGGAGGAGTAGCAGAAGAAGCCTAAGAAGCCCAAGGTCACGGTACCTGAGGCCGCCGCGAAGATCGATGCGGCCGATCTTGCTACATTTTTTTCCGATAGCTAGGTGAGAGCTCGGATCTGCTTGGTTCCTGTGGTCGAAAGATTCGTTATAAACAGAGAGATACATGTCTATAACCTAATACCAAAATGTTTTCTTTGACCTTATTGTCTTTTCAGGCTTCGTACGAATCACAACAGGATATTCAACTCATGCGATTTGTGGATTTCTTCGCACGCTCCTTTGCCTCTGTCAGTGCACCACAGTTCCCCTGGGTTAAGATGTTCGAGGAATCCCCTGCTGTTAAGATCGCTGATGTGAGTTTGTTCTGCCCCTTTTGACGAATTTCTCTCTGGTTCAAAACAATCCTGTTGCCAATTTCTGATACTAATTTTATCTTTTCCTTCCGTGAATCAAGATTTATGATTGATTGGCATCATGGAAATTGATTCTTGTATTAGATAACATACATTCTAAGTAATTAATTTGGACAGCTATCATTTTTGGCAATGACGACCAAATTTATTGTTGTTTGCACGAACAAGCAGAATTTAATCCATGACAAATTCAAGAATCAATTTGAGTATGTATTTCTTGAAAATGCTCAATATTTACCTATCTTCCATATATTTTATGGGTCATCAATTTTTCTGCAATGGTGGCGACCTTGTGGCTATTATTTGAATAGTTTTGAAAACATATTCGCTATGTCATGTCTACTGTTTCATTCATATAACTTTATAATGTTGGGTCCATTGCTCTCGAAAGAAAACTATATCTGATAAAAGGAAAATTATGGATATTACACAATTATTCTATTTTTTATTAAAGTTTCCAAAATATGCTACATAATATGGTAAATGCAATAAACAATTGAATGAAAGGAACATACTATTTAAGCATCTTAAAATCATTAAAGATCATCACTGATAGGGTTTAAAATGATTTTTGGTGAACTTGTTGTTTTCTTGTTTGACATGTGGTACTTGTTTGTTTGCCACAGTATGCTCTATGGCAGTTGACTTCAATGAGAAATTTCCCACCTGCAGTTTTGAACAGTTGACCCTGTGTAAATCATGAAGTTTTCTACATCTGCGGCAAGCAATATCATGGCTCATTCTAAGATGATGCTAGGGTATAAGCCGCATTATATTACTTTCATCACGTATGCCAATTGTCTCCATCAATATGTTTCAAGATTTTTTATCTCATTGTGCATGCTATGCATATTTTCATAACCAACCACTGAAAATCTAACTGGTGTTCATTAATCTGGAACAGATTACCTTGTGCCATATATCTGTATCTGTTTATAAGACTTCGGTTGATTGGATTGCCTTGAAATCTCCTGAAGCTTTGGCCAATTTTGTTCTATGGTGCCCGGATAACATTGTTGCTGACCTGGCAAATCAACAGTCAGCCACCAAGGGCTCAAAAAAATCTGTTCAACAGATTCCATCAAGTAATCAGGTAATGTTCAAGTATATTATTTCCATTTTTTCCCTGCTGGTAAAGTAATTCTGGTGGCATCATAGAGAAACATGTTGGTTTGCAAAATTAATCACACTGGTGCTCCGAGTGCTTCATGTTTTTTTACACTTACTTTAATTCTCAAATTTGTACAGAAAATGAATATTTCATGTTTTTTACAAAGGTGCTCTGAGTGCTTCTTGAGACTGGTCATCTTATTGCCAACAAGTTTTAATTTTCACTAACATAATTACATATGACAACAACTATAGGTTGCAATATTTGTCGTTCTGGCAGTAGCCTAGATGGAAGCCTGATGCACTATTAAGCCTTTTGTCCAAATTAAGGGATAACCCTCGATATCAAGGACAAGAGAATCTCCCACATAGTGTTTGGGTTATTGCACAGGTAGTGTGCTATCTTCTGAATTGCATGGTTGACCCCAAGATGCAAGGTGGCAATGTAATAGTGTCATTAAACTGAGAAGTTTCTTCTTTGATAGGCATCTCTGGGAGATCGAGTTGTTGGAATGTACTTATGGGCACACTACCTATTACCTGTAGTTTGTGGAAAACCACAAGGGAACCCACAATCTAGAGACCTGATTTGCAATTGATTGAAAGGTCTGTCTTACGACCAAGTTGACATATTGATAAATCTGTTGTTTAATTGCTTGATTTAGTGTTTTGGAAAGCGCTAGCCACTAAGAGGCGCCAAAGTCCCAAAATGCCCAAGGCTCTAAGCACCCGCTTGAGCGAAGTGAGGTGCTTTGAAATATTAAAATATAAAATAAATATAATATAATTGATAAATATGATTATATAAATAAAAATATGATATTAAATTGAAAGGATCTAAAGTATCAAGTCACATTATCCATCTTCTAATAACAAAAATGTCAAAAGATTCAAAACAATAAAGCCTTGTATCAAATTCAATCATCATCATAATCAAGTAGGATACATTAGATAATTGTATTTCCAAGTAGAATTCTTTCTTGAATTTTTTGATGAATCTTCTGAATTGCTTTGTATACTTTCCATTAATCCTAAAACTCTAATAACAGTTCTAAATAAATAGAGATTAACAGTGCTAAATAGGAACTAGTATATGGTAACATTAGTTAACGCTTAATAGTGATTTTAATATAAGTTAAAGATTAATAATCTACTATTACTAGTATTTAATCCACCGTTAACATTTGTTGGAGGAGGAGAAAAGAGTCACCGACGGTGGAATATGGGGAAGGAGAGGGCGATCGTGATGGAGAAACTTTCGAACGATGACAATGGCGGTGGAGGAAGTTGCGGACGACGCCAACAACCATGGAGAAAGCTTCGGATGGCGGCAGCGATGGTGGTGAAAGTTGCGAATGGCAGCGTTGTGGGCAGAGGTAGCTTCAAATGTGTTCGTCGGTGGCGGAGGAAGCTGTGGTCCTATCTCTTGGTGATGGAAGGAGTTGTACATGGAAGTAGTAGCGGCGGAGGGAATTGCGCACAAAAGCTAGACCTTCGGACTTGTCTATCTGTGGCAAAGGAAGCGTTAGACGTGTGTGTTGGCAGCGGAGGCAGCAGCGGGAGTAGAGGTGAGCCGGGGCAGCGAAGCAGTGTTTATGGGTCGGGGTCGAGCGCCCGGGTGCCTTTTTAAATCACTGGCTTGATTCATACTTCCTTTTTGCATTTTGTTTACAAAATTCTCTCAGGCCAAAGTCTCAATCTATTTTATTAAATGGTGTTGTCAGAAAGGGGGGAACGCCTAGTACTGCCTGCTGTATTTGATTTGCTTATGCGGATGACATTTCCTGCTCCTACAGCTCTGGTCAACGTTGTTTATATGGTTCCATGCAAAAAACTGCATATCATCCAGCCTCAAAGTTTAAAACTGGCTTTCCTGAAACATAGATCTTTTGCAGGCCACAGAGAGGTTTAGAGCAGTTTATCCTACTCTGAAAGAGCTGGTTCTCATGGGACGAAAACTAGGAAACAAGCATCACAGCAGCTTTTGCCCACTGCTATTTTAGCCATTCAAGAAAGTATAACTGAAATACTTGACATTATTAGATATGTTCTAGATTGAGGCTTTAATATTTATGGTTTTAATTGAAACTGGCACTTGTTTGCAGAGTATCCGGAACTAACAAAAGAAGCAACAGATTTATTCATTTGGTGTTTTGACTCAAATTTGTCGAGTGTTACAGGCAGTGGGTGGGTTGTTCTTGTGCAAACTTACTCTGTCATCACTCTTCTCTTCTTTTGTTATCTCAAGCAAACCTTCTAACTGCTTTAGCTGGTCCATTGTGAAGGAAAAGTTGCACCTAGAAAACGTCGATGCAAGTATTGTTGTTCCCCATGAACTCTCCAGTGAATGGAAAAAAAAATGCTTGGCCAACATCTCTCCTGATTCTCTTAGAATAACACTTGGGAATTCGAGGGTCATAGTAACTGCTCCCAACACTTTTTTTGCTTCTGGATGTTTTACCAATCACTTGACATACGTGCTTTGTTGTCTGGATAAATTGGTCTTAAATATGGGACTCATGGAATTGATTATAGTTACAATTATACGAATATCTTCCTTCCGAATAGAATCCGACTCCATTCCCGATGATTGGTATCCCTGTACATGATAAGTTAAAAATAAACACAAGACAATGGTGAAAGGAATTATTTTGGGGACGGTGATCTACTAGTGGTGCACCAGCCCACGGAAAACCTCTGTGCAGGCCAACAGAATACCAGCCAAGCCAGCAACAACTCGTGCAACGCATCCATCTCCTTCCTGCACACGGACCCTCACACGTTTATCAATCGACGAGGCCTCCTCGTCGGCGATCATTCGCGGTCCGAGTTGTCCGTTTCGTCGGAACTAATATATCTGGCGTCGGCTAATCTGTCGTTTCCCCATGGGATGGTTGTTGGAACGGTGGTGAAATTAATCCATGACGAATTTTTGGATAGGAAAATGAAAGTTGGAAGCTTATCCCCGCATGCATGCCTGCAATTTGGTATTGATTTTGAGTAGAGGCACATGAGTGCCGTAAAATTATGCCATCCTCGCTGTTTTGATGCTGCCGGCTCACCTGCTTCCAAATCAATGGATTACATTACATTACATTGTAAAAGAAAGAATATTTTTTAAAAAAAATATATATATAAGATTGTTATATATAAGATTTGGTATGTGCATATATATAAGATTGGACTCAGCAATTTGAGCCGTTCATCGATCATGTTGATCGTGGATATGACAACGATACAAGTCAATAACACAGCCCCTTCTCGAGTATGAAAGCCAAAGGTGTTGGCGTTGCCTGCTCTGGAGGCTCCCGTCGACCACACACCCCTCCTCCTCTACGTGGCGCCGCCGTCCGTTATCCGTGACGATAAGCCACGAGTCAAGTGGGTTAAGTGCCCAAAGCAGTCAAGATAAGAACGTGCATGGAGTGAGGCTTTGACGTAGACAATCTGCACCATAATGTTTAGGCACATGCATGTCGTACACCGCTGGAGATCACGTCAAAGTTCAGGTCTCATGCGGCCGCCACCCTCCCCCCAACCACTCTCTCTCTCTCTTCAAGTGGGGTAACTCAGTAACTCGCAACTTTCATGTTCTCCTTATACTTCGTTCATTATGGAACCATGGGTTCTCCTTTGCTGATTCGAGAGTATAGTTAGAACATCTTTTTTTTTTGGTGGGTAGAGTTTAAGTATGTGAAAATGAGCTTATTTCAAATAATGAAGATTTATGATATTATTATTATTGTTACATTTAAGTATCGACAATCCTCTATTATCTACTTCGAATGCATTTTGCAAAAGAAAAGTGAAATTGTTTGGTCACATATAGTAAATTAAAATGATTTATTACTTGCCAAACAAAAGCTCCATCATCATATATCAAAACACAGTCAGTCACAAAGTAGATACATACATACATACAATATAAACTAAAAAGGAAGAATACTTTACATATATATATATATATATATATATATATATATATATTGGAAGGTTGTTGCATTCGCCATCCCCCTCTCCCACCAGTCTCGCTGTCTCCTACTCCGCCTGCAAATTAATAAGATAAATTAAAGGACGACATTCTTTCAATCATTAACTCCACAAGCAG